AGCGCAAAAATGCGGGCGCGATTGTCTTACGGGCAAGATGTAACCAATGCGAAGATGATGGCCTGCAGGGTCGGCATAGGCGCGCCCATTCTCAGGGCCCTCCACGCCGGGACCGATGGCCGTCAAATCACCACTCAACGTCATTTCACGGGGCGCACTGCCCGCGCCATCCCGCCCCCGAGCACAACCTGACTCGCCCATGGAATTCGGACTAATCTCGCGCGCGCGGGCATGCGCGTCGATGCAGACAAACAGCGGCGCGCATGCGGTGGCAAACTTCCCCACCTGAGTCCAGAGCGAATTGCGTTCTGTCAGCGGCCACTCGGCGCGCGGCGCACGGGCGACAGCAGCGCGCAAAGTCAAACGAGGCGCCACAATGGTGGCCAGGGGAATGCGCTCGCTGGAGGATTTCTCGGCGCACTTCGGGGAAAGTCTGAGCTCCGAGGGGCCCGCTGCGGCGCGCGGGGCGACAGCGTTCAACCAAAGTTCAACCCGTCGCCCGAGCGCTACACCGCCCGAAGGAAAACCGGCAACGCCGTCGGCACACCTGGCGCCTCGCAAGGTCCCCAGCTTCTTGGGCCCCCGCAGCGCGGGCTTCCATGGATGCAAACCGGGCCCAAGGTCACGTTCCTAGCACGCCTAGCTCTGCCGAGGGCCCCCAGACATGTCTCTGCGGAGGCCGATCCGGCATTGCACTGCGCAGCCGCAAGGTCGACCACGCACCCCTCGTTTCGGACCACCTTGGAGCGCCCGGGCCAATCAATCACTGCGGGGCGCCTGGGCCAAGCGAGAGGGGGCCTCGACGGATGCCTACTGCCTCCAAGCGGGAAAAGCCACACTGGCCTCGGAGTGGACAGCATCCATATGTATATATATATATATATATATATAAATGTGTGTGTGCGTTTACACACATACAGACATACATATGGAATGCGCCGCGGCAGCTACAGCTTCCGCTGGCAAACATGTCACAATAATAGAGCCGCTCGACAACAACCGAGCCCGACGGTCCACCGACGCGATGCGAGGGTGCCCGCGAGCGCCCCTCAACGCGAGATGCGCAATCCCTGGCGGGAGAAGAAGCGACGCACTGCGCGCGGTGCAAACGACATGGCGCTCGGGGGCGCACCGCGCCCCTGCGGCGCCTCGGCAGAATAGAAGGGCCAGAAGGAGGCGCGACGTCCGCGCTGGCCCCCCGCGCGAGCAAGACATGAGAGCCCTGCGCGGTGCGCAGTGCTCCGAGCCAGTGCCGCCGACCCCGTCGCGGTCGGCAGCCCCGCGAGATCCATGCGCTCTGCTGGCGCGCCGACCCCGCGCGCGCGAAGCCCCCCTGGCCCCCGCGCTCTGCATCAGGGGGGTCGCGAGGCCAAGCCCCCCCCCCCCCCCTTCCGAGATCGAGCCGAGCCGCCAGCGAAAACATGGATATCCCCCCCCCCGCGGAGGGCGCAGTCCACCGCCCGCCCAGGCGGGCGGCAGATCCTCGACGCCACCCATCGCTAGGTCCAAAGGGGGGGGGACAAGGGAAGCAACTACGCCAAGTAACGCAAAGGAGTAGGGGAGGAAGACCCTGGCCTCATGATGCGAGGGCGCGCCGCCGCGCACGCCTGCGCCACTCCAGCGGCACGCCCCCCTCGTGAACTCCATCGCAAATCAGGTCCACGAAAGGGGCAGCGAGAGATGAAGGGGGGGATCCACCCACGCAACTCCCCCTTGTTGAAGAGCTGCAGGAACCACGTCAGCAAGGGAAGGGTCGAGCAAGAACACTTCACAGCGCAATTGAATACCCTGCCGGTTGCGCACAAACGAAAAAAGCGCGCACGCACTGATGCAAAAACAACAACAAGAAGCCTGCCCGCAGGCCTGATGCGACGCGCCAACTCCATCCCCAACCAACCCAGCCTGGTTCCACCGATATATGCGAGTAGACACGCGACGGCGGCTGCAAGCGCAGAACTGCGTTCCCCATCAGGAAGTGGTCGCGCGCAGCTCAAACTGTCAGCGCAGCCACCCGACGAGTGAACTTCGAACCCTCTTTGGCGCCGAGTGCGAATCACCGCCAAATCCCGAAACCCCCTCCGCAGACGGAGCGCGTCAGCATTGCCATGGAGGGCGCGGCCTTTTCCAACTCTGGGCCCCGGCTGGCAGGGTCTAGAAGGTAAATTTGAATTGCGAAAAAGCCAAGCGACTGCGCAACACGCATGGCCCTGCATCGAGTGACCTTACTCCCGAGGACCGACGCGGCGGCGAATCACACCAGACAAAGTCGCTGGATTCGAACGCTTCAGGCGCGACAACAACGATTGGCAGCATCGGTTTTCCCTGGCCATCAAACTCGCCCCGGGCAGCAAGGCAGCGGTGAGAAAAAGGGGGGGATCTCACGCGATGGAAACGGACTCTGTCAGGGAGGAACTTGATGTTACTGCGACCAGGGAACAAGTCTCACCTTCGAATCGCGCACACTTTCTCCTGCTACTCAGGTGGGGGTCCAATCATGAGACTACAGAAGCCTCGCCTACTTGCGAGGGGGGACTCGGTACCTTGTCGCCGCGCTTGTCTCGGGCTGAGCAAGTAGCCTCGGTTTGGGCAATCTCCTCCGTCCACTGGCTCGAAGGAAGCGGACACTGAATCTGAAACAGCACCAGGGTTTCCGTGACAATTGCCAGAGGCGGCTGGACTTTGCAATCCTTCTCCTCCTCCTCCTCCTTCTTCTCCCCCTCCTCCTTTGGAGCCTGCTTGGAGGGTGAAGTCATCGTATTTGGTCCAAGCGGCACGAGCTTCACCTGCATTGACGCTGGTCCATCCTGCGGTACTGGCAACGAGCTGGCCGCGGACTCTGGAACTGGGTGCGGCCCACAGGCGGGCCCAACAATCACTGGAAAAGAAGCGGGCGTCGGCGGAACGGGCTGCGCCCGGCGGCGGGGTGGACGAGCGAGCAACAAGCACTGGCGACTTGGGCCCACGCCCGCGGGGCAAGGGCGTCACGCACATGGGTTTAATTCTCACGACTGAAAAAGCACTGGGCACCTTCGTAGTCGATGGAG